CTTGTGAGACAGAATTTTTCCACCTCAATCCATCTTCATTTATGTCCTTGGTCATCGCAAATAAAGTTTATCTTATTTCTGCAGCCAAGGAGATTTTTTTTTCCCAAGAGCAGGATAAATTTCATGGAAATGTTTCAGTATTTACAAGACTATTTTTTCCCCCTTTGCAAAAATGTCTAAAATTTTGTAGACATCCTTAAGCCTGTGTGTCTGCAAAGATGACATTTATAATTACTCATCCAGTTGCAGAATTCCATTAAGAAGGTATAGTTACAAGAATGGACAGGAGATTTAGCGTATCACCTGTTATCTGCCAGGTGGCAGCGGCTGACCCACATTTGGAGAGATTCAACCAAAAGGGCCACCCACACACAGCATCAAAGAACGTTGCTCACAGAAAACAAAATGCTCGAATATCAATATAAAATAGCAAACACTGAAGCAGACCTGGACAAGACTTCTGATTCACTGTGTAGACAAAACAGGGGTGGGGACAAGATGGTCAGCTCAATTATCCAAGATACTGCTGAGTTCAGCGTATTATCATCACAAAGGGAAATTCACAGGCTTCATTTCTCAAATACCGTTTAGGACAAAGCAGGAGAGAGTAAACAGTATCATCTCCATGGCAGCATCGTAGCCGATTAGTAAATCAGACAGGAAGAGGCCCACACAAGGCTACAAGTGCCCAAGTGTCAGTAAAAACACATATACATATATGCAAACCTTATCCTAATGTATTGTTTTTCTTTATACTGATTCTTAAAAAGTAGACAAGAGATGTGGTGAATTATCTGGTACTAGAAATGGACCACTTTTTTAACACTTGCACAATATGTAGGAGGAATAGAAGATAATTTCTCACATTTTGGCAGCAAAACAGTAACAGTGGATACAGCAAAGGCCAAACAATTTACATTAACAGCATACTCATATATATCCTCTGTAAACAAAGTGTAAAGTCACAGGATATTATATTCTTCATGTGGTATATACAGGTATTCTCAGAATGATGGGAACTCCTAGAAATGAGAGAAATAACATTAGAATAAGCTAGGAACAATAAAACCTCAGTACTCTCAGGATGCAACCAAAAGTCATTTCCTTCTTCTGTTTTCTACTTGAAAATGACAAGCTCCTATTAGAGATTTGGTCCCCAAATTCAGCCTCTAGGGTATATGTTACACATGCATATTCACTACAGTTTGTTTAAATTTTGAGATGTAAGCTATAACGTGAAGAATACTGGTATCCAAAGTACCAATTATCAGACAATTCTGAAGATTAAGAAGTCATCAAAAATCAAATTATATCGACATAGCTGAACTTGTCAAGGTAGGAAAACACACTAATATATTTTATAAATATTTCATTTTGGACGCAAACAAAAAGGATTCTCCAACCTAACAAAATGTTCAACTTATGCCATTGGTCCAAAACATAAACATAGAGCAGTTGGTCTGTGGCACCAAAGCCAGTAATCCAGAAGGACATAATTAGAAAAGCACTGAACATAAACATATGACAGCTCAAGCGGTGCCATTTTTCTTGTGGTCATTAAAATAGAAAAATCGACATTTAAATTAAAAATTCTAGTATTCACTGGGTAAGCCATAAAGCCTCTTAACATTGTAAATATTTCATTATCTTCCAGACACTGTGTTCTAATTCATCTCTCTTATACTACTTGCTTAAGAAATATTTTATATTTCCTCCATATATCTCAATGATTAAAAAACATTTTTTTAATTTTCTTTTTAATGTTTTATTTATTTTTGAGACAGAGAGAGACAGAGCATGAACGGGGGAGGGTCAGAGAGAGGGAGACACAGAATCTGAAACAGGCTCCCGGCTCTGAGCTGTCAGCACAGAGCCCGACGCGGGGCTCGAACTCACGGACCTCGAGATCATGACCTGAGCCGAAGTCGGACGCTTAACCGACTGAGCCACCCAGGCACCCCTGATTAAAAAACATTTAAAAGGAACAGAACATCTAAAAGAAATTAAGGCCAAAAACAATTTTCAACCTGCTTTGTCATGCAGCCAGGCTAAGAAATAGCCCAACAAATTCAAAGAATCTGCTATGAAAGCTGTTTTCCACTTCCATTTTGTTGAACCAACCTAAGGAGTCACGAATGACGTGCTGCATGTCAATGTTGTGTCACAGATCGAAGTGAGGGAAAATTTTCAGGTTGAGGTTTTATGGTGTGAGTACTTGGAGTGTGATAAAGCAAAAGCATGGCTTGTCTTCAGGAGGCTTCATTATTTACCCACTCGGTGGTCTTTTCATTACTGTTTTGAAAAGCTGTTGCTTCTTTAAGATTCAATACACAACTAAACGAGAAAAGTTTTATACTATTTTGTGACAAGCTCTAGAGTGTGGCAGAAGTAAAGGTGAAAAGTAAAAAAAAATAAATAAATAAAGATTAAGAAGGAAAGGCTAGTTCTAGTACCAAAGAAAACCAAAGTTACTAAATCAGATCTTAGGTTTTACTATGAGAGGCACACTGCAACGCTACATTTAGTTTTAAGTAACTTAATGTGATTTTCTTTTAATTTAATGTGCGACAAAGGTCTACAACTCTCTTAGGCCTCTGCCTCATTTTTAACTTGAGCTATTTACAATTTATAAGCTTACATTTATAAGTGTATAATTATACATTTCTAATTTCAGTATTTCTAATTCACGTGGTTACTCTAACCTCATAAGAATAAATATTACTACCAGATGCGAAATTCTTCCTTTCCCCCTATTTTAATGCAGGAACAGCCTGTTCTGGCCCCTACACAGCCGAGGATTACCTGGGGCCCACCCATCTGGAGCGGGCGCTGCTGACAGCTGCTGCTGTGTACACAGGGTGTTCTCTGTGTGTACACAGCACGTATGCCAACGTGTGAGGGAGACAGGCAGTGAGGAAGGGGTAGGAGGGACACGACACCCTGGCAAAAGCATCTCCAACAGAAGCCACACGAACACTGCTACAAACGGGTATTCGAGGCCAAAGAGAGAGTTTTAGACTACATCTCTGATCCTTAACAGTAATTTGATTGATAATCTGATGGCAATTTCTACTGTAGGTAGTATTCTTAATAGGGGCCAGTTGGTAAGAAATGGGAAAATGTGCCTAATTAAAAAATTCAAAGGGTGGCTCCAAATGTAACCACTGTGATTTTACCATTCTTAGGCTCTAAGAGTACCGGGGCTGCAGTCCATTTATGCAGTTGTCATCTACAGTCCTATTGCTTTCAAAGAAACCAGGGGCTATTTACTAATTTGGGTTGTGCTCCGTTTAGCATGTGGTGTTAAAGCTCAGGCACAAAAGATTTTTCCCTACATGCTCAGAATCTGCAAAAGAGAATTAACAAAAATAGAAGCCAAAACAGAGGTTTTGAGTTTGCTGCACAAACGCCATTTATGCGTCACCAGAGAGAGAGAATACATGGATAGATGCTCTTTTCTGGCTCATCGAGGGGAATGAGCTCAGAGAAGGCAACCAGGGAGCACCCCTTCCACGTTTAACAATCTGACTTTCTAAATGCAAGGTGGAGACGAGCAATCTCTCTACATGAATCTAGGAGGGGAAACTTTTCCAGGGCCCTGCCTCATCTCCCTTTTCCGCGCCCCTCCAACTCTCAAGCCACTACTGGTCATCCCAGCCCAGTGCCCTGCAAGACACTCACGGGTACAAATGAAAACCTCCTCTTCTGGAGGCAGGTGAGTGCTGAGCTCAAACAGGTGCCTATGGTTTCAAAATCTATAGCCCACTGGAAGCTCAAACCAGGTTTTAGTAAGGGCCTCTTTTTTTTTTTTTTTTTTTTTTTTACTGGGTTTGAAGGATGAGACACAATGGTATTTCTGTTAAAATCAGTAAGTTGACAGAGGCTACCTTTTTACTACAGATGAGAAATTTAAGCAACTAGATGATATTAGTCTACCTACAAAAACATGAGGAAGTTTGTGTTCTATTTGGTGTTCACTACATTTTCTATTAGAAGCTACTGCACAAGCAAGTCAAAAGGAAAACACAAACTGCATTATAGGAGTTGAAATTAGACCCATTGCTTTTGTTACTTCCTTTTTTTGACACAGAAAAGGTTTCAACACAGAAACCTTAACACACTCAGCAGAATGTTTTTGGAGAACACCTGTACTACATAAACTTTAGTATACTTAATAACTTGATGACTCTTTCCAAGAATTCAGTTGCATGTACTTCCTCTAAAGAAATAAGAATTTCATCTCGTCAGAATCATAGAGATGCCCCTTGCCTTCAGTGCAGGAAAATCTGTAGGTATAAATTCAAGTTTTATGTGGGCAGTATTCATATTCAAAAGCTCAGCTAATTTTCCTAACATAACTTTCTTACATTTATTGACGATATAACAAGGTTTACCAAAACAGTTATCTGCAGATGTTGACAAATATTAATTCATTTGGTGTTGTATGCATTTAAATGCTTTTCCTTAATGTCATCTGGCTGAAGAGCAAGTTGAATTTATTTCACAGTTTTACATTATAGTTCTTATCGTCTACTTAAATTCTGTGTGGTAATAGCATTCTTATTGCAATATGACTAGAAAGTATAACAGTATTTTTGCTAGTTTTAATATTAAGCAGGGATTTTAGTGGAAACACCACAGTGTGATATGTCGAGGCAGTAATACAAAGTGACACGTATTTAATGATAGTGCTAGTTCTATAAGTAACATCATATTAAAAAATCCAGTGAATGTTATTTCCTCTTAATTAGGGTCATTAACCTTCAGTGGAGCTTTCTTCTTTTCTTTTGTTCTTTCTTTCAAATTGAAATGATATTTTTATTTATGGAGCCCCAATCAAAGGACCCAACAATTCTTAATAGCAACTTCCAATAGTTGATTCTTGCTTGTCTTCCTGGTCTCTCCAAAAAAACCAAAAACAAAAACTAAGTAAGCTTTGACAAATAGAGACACTTAGGAATACCATAAATATACACAAGGGTTCCCACACACATTCTCTTTCAGTCTAGCACAGAAGAAGGGGCAGGACGAACACAGCAGTTGGGGCGTCGAAAGTTCTGCAGCATGGACTGTAAAACACTGTGCTGCCTTCCTTTGAGCTTTTTATTTGAAGAAGTATCTGAGGAAATGGATCTCCGGGTCTGGCTGTTTTGAGCTTTGATTAATTTCTCATGTTCCCTGATTTGTCTTTGTAGATGGTTCTGGATTGCGATACCCAGGGACTCTGGGTCCAGGGAGGCACCATACACTTCCCAGGTCATGCCCTGCTCATCCCACACGACGTCCCTGACACGCTTGGACTGTTTCAACTGCAGCTTGGAGTCGGCGCCCAGCTGCTTTTTCTTCTCTCCTGGGGTGAGTCCCACCTGGGCGGCAGCCGCGGTCACATTTAACTTTTGCTCCTTGAGGAACTCGCTGACTCGGCTGGCCCGCCGTGGGCTGGCTTTGACCAGGCGAGAAGGGGTCCTCTTGCCAGAACCTGGACTGGAGTCACCCATGGAATCGGATGGGAGGCTCAGGCTGGTGGCTGTCTTGGTCTGTCTATTTTCCTCCAGGGTACCCTCCTGGTTCTTCCTCACTGGGGAGGGCGTAGGACTAGCAGCTGACCCAGTGCCTCCACTTTCTTGAGATTTAGGATTGAGCAGCAGGGTTTTGGCCTCTGCCCTGGCCCTGGCATCAAGGATATCGGTGCCTCTACATTCTTGTTTTACTATCTGAGGAGATGCTGGCTGCTTCTCTCTTGCATCTCCTTTGTCAGTGGGATCCAGGCTCCCGGGCTGGTCGGCTTTGTTGGCAGGACCACAAGAGTCAGAGAGTTGGCAGTCTGGGTTTGTTTCGTGACCATCTGTGGTTTTCACTGCAAACTCAGATGGCTTGGTTTCAACTTTCCTCAATTCATGATTTGTTTCGGTTTGACTTCCCGCACTGAAAGAAATCTGGTCAGTGGGGCTGGCTTTCAGGGACCTAGAATTCACACCTGAAAGCTGTTTAGAGGTGGGCTCTTCCCTTGCTGGGGTCATTCCCGCAGACCCTGTATCTTCCTTACACAGATCCTGAGTATTACCGGATGCCACGGTGATGGATGAGATCTTAAGGACCTCCCTCGGTAAGCTCACCAGTTTGCATTCCCCTTGGAGAGCTGTGGAAACAGTGGCAGCTGCCTGGATGTGCACTTCTGGCATGATGCCGGGGCACGGACCTGACCCTTGGGGGGAGTGGATGTTGTCAGATAGCTCCAGCGTGTGGCTCCCACTGCCGCTGCCATTGCAAATGACACGCAGCTGCTCTTGTTCCAAACGCTCAGGAATTGGGGTTTCCTTTAAGAATGCAGCGAGGATGCTGGGGCTGGTGGAGACCGATCTGCTCTCCACACTTGCCACTGCCTGCACCCCAGCATCTTGCCGAGCCCTGTCGGGAGCTTCCGTGACCTCCCTTGCAGCTTCGTTGGTCATTGTACTTGCTTCTTTGAACCTTGACACCTGATCTGGAGGACGTGTGGAGACTTTGCTAGTGAGGTGGGGTGGTTGAGGTGTCACAGAAGTCACAGACTGGCTGTCTGAGGTGGTGGCTGAGGGCTGTTTGTTCCCTGAACATCCTTCTTTCGCGGGAGAGTCACAGGACCTTGTCTGGGAGTCGCATATGGCTCCTGGCCTTGCTCCTTTGGGTTGGCCTACAGGAGACGAGGAGTGACTGAACACCTTGGCTGCTGTATTTGCAGTCTGCAGCATTCCCTGGATTGTTTTTTGAGAAGAAAAATCACAGGGCACTTGGTCTTTGCTGTTGCTCTGGGTGCTTCCCACAGGGCAATGTGACTTTTCAGGTTTTTCAAGAATCTCCCCATCCGAGGTTCTCTGTGTTTTCAGCAGAGTATCTTCAGGTCCTGATAAGGGGCTGGCATTGAGCTGGTCACTTGGGGTCGCCTGGTGGGTGTGTTGGTTGGCTGGCATTGTAAATGCTTCATCTATGAGATCCTTTCCTGCTGCAGAACATGGGGCTGGTGCTGTGGGCTCACTGCTTCCTGGCAGCTGGGTATTGTCAGAACTGCATGGAGGAGACACTTTTTCCACCTCATTGAAGACACCAGGAGAAGACATGTCTGGCTGGGTGGTCTCATGCTCAAAGGCCTGCATCAGGACCTCAGCAGCTGCACTGGGGCTGAGGTCTGGCTCTGCAGGAGTGCTGGAAAGGCCATTGGTGTTCTCACACAAGACGGCTGGTGGAGACCGAGGGGAGGCAGGCTGCACTTCTCCTAGATCCTCTTCTTTTCCAGAAGCTGTGATCAAGGAAGTTTTAGCTGATCTCAAAGGGTCAGGTACAGTCCCCATGGAATTCTTCTTCAGGAAATCCTCAGAGCTCTCCCCGGAACAGTGTTCCACCTGGGAAGCAGTTTTAGCTCAGTGTAGGGACGGAGTCAGGGACGATTCCTCTGAAGGATCAATCTGTGAATCAAGGAAATAGTATGATTAACCCGGTACAGCATTTAGGGGTTGAAAATACAGCAAACTAATTTGTACAAGATCTTATAAGCACACTAAACCTTTTCCTCGCGTATTCGTTGCTATAAAACATAGATCTTGGGAAGAAAGACTTTGAAAAAAATATTTTAATTATACAAGTATTATTTGGTACATTAGTTTCTGCTTGCATCCCATTTCTGTCTGCAAATAGGTTTTTAATGTATTTACCTAAGCATTTGATAACTACCCAAAAGTCATTTGTGTAGTCTGATTTACCAGATATCCGAAAATCCTATAAAGCTACTGTAATCAAATCAGTAAGTATTGAAATAGGCCTAAACAGATACGTGAAATAGAATATCTAGAAATAGATCCACATATAAATGAAGATTTAATATATGACGAGAGGCATTTCAATTTAGTGGCAAAATGATGGATTATTTAATATAAGGAGCTGGCAAACTGTTTATGCATCTGGAAGAAAGTAAAGCTAGATCTTTATCTTATACCAACTCCAAAAATAAATCCTAGATGGATTTAGATAGATTAAAGGTTAGGGGCGCCTGGGTGGCGCAGTCGGTTAAGCGGCCGACTTCAGCCGGGTCACGATCTCGCGGTCCGTGAGTTCGAGCCCCGCGTCAGGCTCTGGGCTGATGTATCAGAGCCTGGAGCCTGTTTCCGATTCTGTGTCTCCCTCTCTCTCTGCCCCTCCCCCGTTCATGCTCTGTCTCTTTCTGTCCCAAAAATAAATAAACGTTGAAAAAAAAAAAAAAGAAAAAAAATAGACAGATTAAAGGTTAAAAATGTAAAATAAGTAATTAAATAAATAAAATCCTGTAAGAAAATCTAGGAACCATAAATATAATCTAGGGGCAGAGAGGGTAGGCTTCTCTTGGCAAGGGAGAAAACACACAAACTAAGAAAAACATAAGGGATTGAATAAAACCCAAAAGTTTTGTATGGCAAAAGATACCATAAACAAATACAATAGATTTGAAAAACAAATGTTTAAAATCCTAGAGGACAGGCAAAAATATCTATCATACAGCAGAAGCTCTTAAAAATTTTCAGGGACAGAAAATAGGTCTTTGGAAAAATGGACGCAGAACATGAAAATGCAGCCTGCAACATAGGAAACATGACAGTCAACAAGCTTTTGGAAAAATGATCAAATTCATCTGTAGTCAAAGAAAATGCAAATAAAGTAACAACGAGATTTTAGTTTACAATACTTCCACCTGCAAAAACTTTTTTTTTTAAAAAGAGCTGTAACATTATGGCCTGGGGAGACCTAGCGAAAGGAAGTATTTTGATTAATTGTAGGTGCATATTGTGTATTGTGACAGCTTTCTTAGAGAAGCAGTTTAGTTTTTAAAGCTAAAAATACACATGTCCTCAACTCTGTGATCCTAACTCTATCAACAGATGTAAAATACCAGCATATATAGATAGGGATACAAGTATGTTTACTGAAGTACTATTTGTAGGGGCAGAAAAACTGGATGTAAACTGACTTCCATCAAAAGGGGGAGTAGTAGAATAGATCAAGACATATCTCTACTGTAGAGCATAATGCAGCCATCAAAATAAACAGTTAACTGGGCTGTAACTTTTCAATTGGGAGGGATTTCTCCAAGGTATGGCTGAGTGAGAAAAGCAAGGTAGAGAAAAGAATATATACATTTTCCTTTTTGTGAAACAGTGACCTAAAACACACAGTGACCTAAACACACAATGACCTAAAACAGACTGTGTATGTGTACAGATGTTTGTATATCATTATATAAATTCTAAAAATATTTAGACTGAGACATATTAGGTCTTAAATGGAGGGAATGTAGAAGACAGTAAAAGAGAGATGGAGGTACTGAAAGGTGGGAAAAAATTTTTTTAAATCTGAATTTTATTTATATTTTTATTTGAGAGAGAGAGAGAGAGAGCGAGCAAGCATGGGAGGGAGGGGCAAAGGGAGAGCAAGAGAATCTTAAGCAGTCTCCATGCTCAGTGTGGAGTCTGACACAGGGCTCTACCCCATGACCCCTAGGATCATGACCTGAGCTGAAATCAAGAGATGGATGTTCAACAGACTGAGCCACCCAGGCGCCCCTTCCCATCCTTGGTCTTGACTGTTTTCTGCTAAAACCCTTTGTCCAGGTATATATTCCATTTCTTCCTTATTGGAGTTTTCAGTTGCAGTCACTTACTGGGCACCAAGCCTGTCTTCCCCTCTGCCCCTTTCTCATCTGCCTTTATTATGCCTTTCCTCCCACTCTCTGCCCTCCTCATCCTCAAAAAGCCTACCCATTCTTCAAGGCTACACTTAAATCTCATTTCCTTTCTGAAGGCCTCTAAAGCTTTCAAGTCATAAAGTCTTTCTCTCTTTTAAAAATCGTACAGCTGTGGTCATCTGGGTCCTTCTCATGTGCTGTTTTTGTACCTTTGTTACTCGTGTAAATGTCTTATTTCTCCAAAAGTACTTCAAGTTCCAGGAGGGAAGGGGACAAGCATATTGATTCTTTTCTGTTCACTCCACAGGAGACAGTGCAAAGTCTTGTGCATAAAAAGGTGTTAATTGATCCCAACTTCCCTCCCAAATGGCTGTTATTAAAGCCTTGCCAAACTTCAAAATAATAGGAAATGTTAACCCATGACATGGAATATTAATCAAAACACACAATTTAAAAGAGTGCTATTTTTAAAAGTAAAAAACAGGTTGTATCTTATTTATGAAACTTTATCTGTAATTCAGTGTTAGGCAATTAAAAACAAGTACATTGGACACCAGCTACAAAAGCGGGAAGGTTTCATAAAGCCAGGAGTATAGAACATCTCCTGTGTTATATAGCTGGAGCCAAGAAACCTGGTTTGCAAAGAGGACTGTGAAATATAAGCAGCTCAAAGTTCAGCAACTGAAGCTGAAAGACTTAGAAAAAGACGACATTTCATAAAGCTCTCAGAATTCGCTGTGTTTACTTCCATTTTCCACAGATACCTAGTTGATTATACTAGTTTAACTTTATTTTTTTTATTTTATTTTTTTTAATTTTTTTTCAACGTTTATTTACCTTTGGGACAGAGAGAGACAGAGCATGAGCGGGGGAGGGACAGAGAGAGAGGGAGACACAGAATCGGAAACAGGTTCCAGGCTCTGAGCCATCAGCCCAGAGCCCGATGCGGGGCTCGAACTCACGGACCGCGAGATCGTGACCTGGCTGAAGTCGGACGCTTAACCAACTGCGCCACCCAGGCGCCCCAATATACTAGTTTAACTTTAAAAGGTGTTTCCATTTGTTTACTTTGTTAATAGAGGCAAAATCCATCAATTCAAGAATCAAGAAGAAAGGGGCCCCTGGGAGGCTCAGCAGGTTGAGTCCGATTCTTGATTTTGCCTCAGGTCATGGTCTCCAGGTTCCTCAGACTGAGCCCCAAGTAGGACTCTGTGCTGACAGTGTGGAGTCTGCTTGGGATTCTCTCTCCCTCTTATTTGTGTTTTTTTCCCCTCTCTCTCAAAATAAATACACTTAAAAAAAAAAGAATCAAGAAGAAAAAACAGATTCTTGGCTCATACTTGTGATCTGAAACTCTTGATTCATGGATAGATAGGAAATCAAGACTTTTCTCAATCATATCTGCTAAAGTAATTGTTACAGCATCTCCATGTGTCCAGGAATATTTTCCGCTCCCCTCTCCAACTAGAAGCAGAAATCTATAGTCTCCAATAGGTTAGACAGATAGGGTATTTTAAAAGTGTAATTACTTGGTGGTTTAGAGTGGGGAGTGTATGTCTTTAAAATCAAGCTGAGTCCATTATGATAAGATTTAATAACCTCTACAAATGAAATTGCTAACAGGTAGTCCACAGACTGAATGAATCCCTGCAGGCGTGTGTGTGTGTGTGTGTGTGTGTGTGTGTGTGTGTGCGTGTGCATGCATATGTGTGTGCGTGTGTGTGTGTGTGAGAGAGAGAGAGAGAGAGAGAGAGAGAGAGAGAGAACTGCATGGTTTCCCCTTCTCTTCTCTCCCTTTCTTCCCCCTCCTCTCTTTCCTCCTTCCCCCTTCCTTTTCCTTTCTTTTTTTGTTTTATGAATTGAAGAGATCTTTCATAAAAAGCCAGATTTCCCTCTTTCTGTTAATTTTTAAAAACTCAGAAGGCATGCATTTCTAGGCAGCAACCACCAGGTAGTGATGATGAGGGCTGGCTACCTTGTTGAGCATGGACTTTCCACATGGCCCATTCCCCATGACCTTGCTTTCCTGGTTTGTTATTACTTACCTGGGCTTGTGTGGGCAGTCAAATTTGAGAACTTTGGTCTAAGAATACTGACAGAGTAGACTTCCCAACCTAATTTTTAGTCCTCTGAGAGCAGTTCAGCATTGTCTTTAAGAACATGGACCCTGGGGGGCGCCTGGGTGGCGCAGTCGGTTAAGCGTCCGACTTCAGCCAGGTCACGATCTCATGATCCCGAGTTCGAGTTGACAGGCGTCAGGCTCTGGGCTGATGGCTCAGAGCCTGGAGCCTGTTTCCGATTCTGTGTCTCCCTCTCTCTCTGCCCCTCCCCTGTTCATGCTCTGTCTCTCTCTGTCCCAAAAATAAATAAATGTTGAAAAAAAATTAAAAAAAAAAAAAAAAAAAAAAAAAAGAACATGGACCCTGGGCCAGAATTCCTGGATTATAGTATCAGTTCCACTAGCTAACTCTAACACTGTGTGCTTGGGCAAGTTAACTTAACCACTCAAGGAACCCATTTCATCTATAAATTGAGGATAATAATCATGGTACTGCCTCAGTGGGATGTTGTGAGGAATAGATTTAACATTTAGAACAAACAACATCTTGGCATATATTAAACATCTTATGAGTACTAGCT